TTGGATAGTTTTGAAGAAGAATAGACTTTTAAAGTTTTAGTATTGTATTTTGAATTATTTGGTCTTTAAAGTGTTAGACATTTTAGTATCTACTATTGGTTTTTGAATTGAATATTTGCTAATATGTGTTATTACTATTATGATTTTGGATATTTATATATGCAATTAACTATTTTTAATTTTTGGTATTAAATGGCGCCTTGATTCAAAAAGGCAAGTGTCTCACCTCTCGCCTCGCCACGCCCTTGTCGCCTATTGTCGCCTCTCGCCGTTCAAAACACTGGACATAACCATTGTAATTTTTTTTACTAATATTCTTTCAATGGATTTTTTTTCATACTTATCTAGTGTCGCTTCGTCGCACCCAAGGTGTAGCCTAGTGATCAATGAAGTGGGTTGAGAACTATCAGGTTCAAATTTCAATAGAGGCAAAAACACTAGGTGATCTCTTCCGATCTAGTCTAGCTTGGTGGATCGAGTTATTTGGTACGTGTTGCTGGTGGGAGTTGGCAAGTATTCCGTGGAATTAGTCATGGTGTGTGCAAGATTGCCCGAACACCACGGTTATAAAAAAATAATAATTATCTAGTGTCCTCTTGTTAAAAACAAAGACCACGAGCCATGAGAGGTGGGCCTTTTGGCATTGGTGTGAGCACCAGCTAAGAGAGGCAGAGCAAACAAGCTTTACTTACTATCTTGGCTTAAGCACTCCCCACTCGAGCAGTCGAGCCTTTACTCAACACTGATGTTTGTTCAAATGGTGAAAGACAGTTTGAGAGATTAAAAATTTGCAAACAAGAGAGTAGTCAAATATATAAATTTATTAAAAGGGAAGAAGGCGTAGGTTATTGTGCTCCAAATCCTATGCACCTTGTATGTTATTCCAGCTGAAACCGTCTCTAGCACTTCCTCCTCCCTCTGTGTATATTTGAGGGTTCAAGTTGTAACTTCTTAATTCCAGTAAATGGGCCTATTTGATTCACTATGTTATTTGGGTTGTTTACCTCACTAAAGGCCTAATATCTCCTGTGCTGAACTAGAACTTTTAGCTACATTATTTTTTAAATGAAGAAACAATATAAACTTTATGAATCTGTGTTTCTAAATACCACTTTGTTGATTATTGGAATCTCAGAACGTTATGGATCACAGTTAACATCAGATGAGCTAAATGAATTTGGAACTATGGAAAATGATTATGAAATCAATTGGCATCTGAATCACCTGCGAAGTGTAATTAGCCCAACACAAGAAGATCTGAAGTCCAGATCAGTTAAGATTAAGAACAGACGGCGAGCATATCTGGACAAATTGGTAAATGATGGACAGTACTTTTCAGAGGATGCAATGAGGGAAAGAGAGCCATATTTGCATCATGAGTATATTGGGAGGTTTCAGGATCCAAGTGGTAGGAGCATGGCAAGACCGGGAGAGCGATGGTCTGAAACACTTATGAGGCGGTCAGAAGAGGCAGTGCTTGTTAAGAAAATTAGGGATGAGCAACAGAGACGAGGCGTGGCTCAAAGTGATTGGGTAGGGTTTGATAATCAGGAACTTGAGAAGATGGAGGAGGAAGAAGAAGAAGAAACCGAGGAAGAGGAGGAGGAGGAGGAGGAAGAAGAAGACGAGCAGGAGGAGGAGGTGCAGGAGAAAGACAAAGGTGAAAGGGACATCTCATCTAATAGACAAGAGGTAGTTGTTGTACCCTCTCTCAATTTGTTGATAGTATACACTAAAACATTTGTTGGGTCTGCTGATTATTTGCAATTACATGCTAACTTGTAGGCTATTTTCAATAGATGTCATATTTTTGTTGTGTCTTATTATTATATTGCATTTATGCCGAAGGAATTATGGATGATTGTCAGTTGAAAGACATAATTTTAGTTGTGTTTTATTTGACATAGCATATTTCTTTTGTTGTTTCGCAACAATTGAGTAAGAATGGGATATTGGTTGGAAGTACTTTAGTATTGTGTCGGAGTTCTTTTAGTTGGTCTTCATAAAAAAAAAGAGTTCTTTTAGTGGTAATACCTCCCCTAAAGTGTAAAAGTGTTTTAGTGTTTGGATTGGGGAGTCTATGATTCATTGCAATTTCTGACTCACTCATCTTTGTGGTGTTCTGCAGTAACATGTTAACGAAGTTTGGAGAGCTATGAAGTTATGCATCGTAATTGCCAGTTGGAAAGTCCTACTAGTGTGCCCCCCTTAAATGGTGTGCATTTTTTTTTGTGGGGGGAGGGGTTTTTGCAAATCTGAATGTACTAGGCAACAGTCTAACTTAAAACCGCGATGTATCCATTGAAATTGAGAAGTAAAAGTGTGATGTAAAAAGGTTATGAATCAACTCTTCAGCTGAAAAACTGATATTTTAGGAGCTCATTTTATGGTGGATACCTTCTATGAGCTTCTCTGGGAGATGCTTGCATTGTTATCTTTTTCAAGGATTTTATGCTAGCTTCATCTCTGTCTTTTTCTGTGTTTTCTTTTGCATTCATATTTCTGGAGATCAAGTTTTCATGTGTTATCTTGTTTGTTAGCTCAAGTTGGAGTTGTGTCAACAGGGAGCTCCACAATTTTCACTGACCATCATTATCTTGTTTACACATTCCAGTTGTAGTGAAGCTTTGTAGAGGTTCAAGTTGGAGTTTTATTTAGGTTTTGTTGAATGCAAGCTTTTGTCTATAGTAACCTCACAGAATATGTTCTCAAAGCATAGACCATTTTCTTTTTGTTTAGCCTGTTATCCTTAGTAGGCTTACTGTTCCTATTACTTATCAGAAAATGATTTCTTTTCCTATGTGAAGGTACACCCAATCATCCTTGATGCTTCTATTGACGTGCCATCAGAAATAAGAAGAGCTGCTGTGATGGAAACTTTATCAACTGAGGAGATGCAAGAACGATTGGACCAGTTTTCTTACATCATGCAGGAAAAGTTTTTATTAGGAGAAGATAATCTGGATTACTCAAAAATTGACGAGGATGAGACCTTGGATGATCACTGGATAAAAGAAGCAAATTATGATGCTGAAGAGAAGTACTTTGATGATGACTGAGCTTTAATTACCGAGTGGTTTTTAGCTTTTGATGCTACACAAGTAGACAGTCAAGTACACATCTCGTTTGAGTTTCTATCATGTATATGCTGTTAGCGTTGTATGCAAATATGTTTAGGTTTTATGTGGCTGAAGGGAGTTTCTCTTAAGGTTGTTATCGATGGCTGGTTTTTGGTTTTTGAAGTCGCTTCCTATCCATCTTCTTATGTTAAGCTTACAGTAAATTCATAATCTTTAGATGTGGAACTAATGAGATATATGTAGATTGTGACAAGGACAGTGATTCTTGTCCAAATAAGTAACAATAAACCCAAGTTGCAGAAATGAGAATTACTGTACTATCATCAGGTGTATGTCAATTGATAAGACACAAACATTAGGGGATTTGGAGAAGGTTCCTAGTTTGGATTTCTTTTATTTGTCTTTGTACGATGAACAATGAGTTTATGAATCATTTGGGACATAAATGGTTCATAATTAGACATTGTTTTCTTTTGGGAGTTTCTTTTTTTATTGGTCAACTTCTATCATGTTGAATTGTTGATGTAGAGTGAGTGGCTACAACTCCAATCCCACACAATTTGTACATTTTAGTTACTGGATTTGATTTATGCCTTATCTTGCAATTGCCTTTAATAGGAAGTACTATTAATCTGAATACTTTGATTACTAAATCAATTTTAATCACCGATGCTCTCTGATTCAAGAAAATAAAAGGGAAGAGCAACCAATTTAATCCCTGAAATTAAGTTGGTCTTTGGTCATAGGATTTGTGAGTTTGATTAAAATGAACGTTTCTTTATGAAATTTGCATAAAATTATAATGTCAGCTTTAAATTGTATTTTTAATTTTCAAATTCTAAATTCTTTGAAAAGTAGGATTTGAAATTTCACATTGTGAAGTCAAATATAAAATTTGACTCCTTAGCTCAAGAAAAAGAAGTCTAGGAAATGAAGTATCAAAAGTACGAGAAACAACAAATAATTAAAAAAAACAACATATAGGTAACATAACATAAACTACAACAAAATAATACGATGATTGAGATACAAGTAACAATAGATTGCAACAAATATTAAAGGATAGGAAACTACTGAAACAATACTATGACTATTAATATGAACATTGTCACCTACTATCATTTTACCTTAATTTTTGTCCTCCAAACACTTATATTTCGTGTCCTATGTAAGCTGAAATTGCATCATATCCCATGTAATCACATTTCAGAATACTTCTTAGTCTATCTTTATCTCTCCTTAATATTTCTTTGATCTATCTCTATCTCTCCTGAAACAATCATAAATAACCTCTCACATCTTTATATCACGACATATATGTATCTTCTCTCCAAGATCTTGTCCTCCGCTGAAGCTACTCCCATCTTGTCCTAGATATCCTCATTTTTAATCATATCTCTTTTAGTATGCATGTACTTCTATTTTAATATTCTCATCTCCACAACTTTTATCTTATGAACATAAAAATTCTTAATTGACAACCAACACAATTAAACTGATCTGACCATCGTTCTTTAGAATTTATCTTTTAGTTTTTATGATACATTTATTTACCCCTTCCTCACCCCCCCACCCCCCCTTCTTTACATTGACTAACATCCTTGTCTATATTTTCATTGGAATATTTAAATTTTTTCTCCTTTAAATGACATGTGTATCAAGTCTTACTTTCATGATAAACTTGTGCATGCGTCGCTAAACTTATAATCCAAATATTTAAAAATATTACTACTAGTAAAAATGAATTTTTTGATAACTAAGCTGATTTTAAATCCATGTCCAACAGGCCCTAAATCCAAAGGCTTACAATTTTTGGCAAATTGACATCCACCAAACAAAAAGATTCAAAATTACTGGTGAAGTCATCAGTGACAAAAGTTACACGTATACAATCGCACCACGATAAAATGTCCAAGCGACGATACATTAGCATTACCCATCCGAAAAAATCGCCTAAGCAAAGCTAAGCTAAGTTCTTCCCGCCGGTGTTTATATATCACCTTCTCCGGTCACAATTCCTTCTCTGTCTCTCTCTAAAACATTCCATCAATAAGCATAGATTAGAGAGAGAAAATGGGATAACCTTCAATCCCCCTCACCAAAAACCCTAAGTTTCTCTCTCCTCGTTTCTCGGACATTGAAGCCCTAGGGTTCGAGTCCTGTTGTTTAATTGTCGTATAAGCTGAGGAGAGAGATATGTACAAAGAAAGAAGAGTTGGCGGTGGATCGAAGCCGGAGATGGGACGTGTAGGTGATAGGAAGAGATTAAATGAAGCCTTGGATAAGCACTTGGAGCGCTCATCTCCTTCTACCTCCACTACTACTGTCAGGGGTACTAATGGAAAGGATCATCGCTTTGCCCTGTCCAAATCCAAGGACCAGCTCAGAAACTCTGCTCCTCCTCCTCCTCCTGATAATAAGTGCTCTGATGGTATACACACTTTTTTTCCTTACATCCTATATTATAATGGTAAATTCATAGGGTGGAGTTTAAAATGTTAATGCATATATAGAAGGATGTATGTAGACATATTAGGTGTTCTGAAATGGAATGGAAATAGTCATATGTTGGAGTGAAGGGAGTATACTGTATTTATCTATTATGTTGGTTGTTATCTAATTAAAGTTTTAGGTTTTAGAGGTTGAAATTTGGCTGCACAATTTCATTTTTACTTTAATGGTTATGAAAATTAATTGGGAAGAGTAATTATGATCAAATTACATTTTAAAGCATGATGAGAAGATCAGGAGCAAGTGTTGAAGCTTGTTCTGCATTTGGTGACATTAAAGCTTCATGTGGCACCAGGTTGTTGATTCTAGTGTTAGTGTTGTTATTAATGGCTATGATCATATCATTCACCTTGTCTACTAAAATGCCTACTCCATTCCTACATCTCTAGCCTTGGTTCCTACCAATTTGGTTTCCTGGACACATGCTACATTGATCAACATGGTGCATAGGGACCACTTCGAGAGGATATGATGAAGCGCATGGTTTTTTTGGCTTTGGGGATATAAATGACGCAGGAGTGTCTCTTTTGGACATCACGGTAGCTTTTGAGCTGTTCATAGCTAACTTGAGCTTTCATAAGAGGGAGGAACACTTGGTGACCTATCGTAGTGTAGTGTCTAATGCACACACAGATTACCTGCTCCTTAGGAAGTGTGATTGAGGTTTTCTCAAAAAAGGAAGTGTGGTAGAGGTAACTGCGATGACCACAAGTTTATTTCGAGCGAGAATCTTACAACCATTATAAGCTCGTGGTTATGAATTTCGATATCAAGAGAAAAATGTAGAAGAGAACTTCATATGACCAGCCAAGGATTAGATGGGGAAGCCTGACTGAGGCCAAAGCTCAGGAGATTATGGATAATTTGGTGACTATAGGGGCTTGGGGCAGTTGTAAGTATGCAAATAGTATGTGGGCTAGTACAACTGACTGCATCAGAGTAGCAAGTCCCTGATATATCCTGATACAAGTGTTAGTTCAGCATGTTCGAGACTTGGGAATAAAAGGATGGTATCATTGCAACATCACCTATCCATTTGTGAGATATGAATGAAAACAAACTTCTAATGTTATTTCAAAGAGCGGATATGCACGTTACAATAAGCTTATAATCAGTAAATAAATTCAGACTTATCTTCCAGGATGAACATGGTAGCTTTCTTTAGCTATAATAAGTGAAACAATTCAGGAAAATCTTCATGCTTTTTTGCTCTTTTTTCTTTTGGCACTTCCTAGGGTGGATCATGGATGAGCATTTGTCACTTGCATGAGACTAAGCCATGCCATTTATTTTGTATCTGATTGCTTTATGAAGTCCTCACATTAATTATGCTTGATGGTTACAATTAAGGCCCTGATGTAGGACTTTCCTCCAGAAAAAAAGAAATAGAATATAAAAGGCATAATACATAAATGTGCCCCTTAACTTGACCTCATTTCACATTTATGCCCTTCAACTTTGGTTATGCACAAGTAGACACTTAAACTTGTATAAATTTGAACAAGTTAACACATGAGTCTTAAGTGGCACAACACATGAAGGACAAAATGATATGTAGGATGTCATGTAGGATATGTGCGTCTATTTGTTCAACTTTATACAAGTTTAAGTTTAAGTGTCTACTTATGCACACCCAAAGTTGAAGGGCATAAATGTGATTTGAAATCTAGTTAAAGGGCATATTTATGTGTTAATATAGAAATACAAGGCCCTGAAGTGGCACAACACACGTAGGACAAAATGATATGTAGGATGTCATGTAGGACATGTGTGTCTATTTGTTCAACTTTATACAAGTTTAAGTTAAGTGGCTACTTGTGAACACTCAAAGTTGAAGGGCGTAAATGTGATTTGAAACCTAGTTAAAGGGCATATTTATGTATTAATATAAAAATTCAAGGCCCTGATATATCTTGATAAGAAGAACGTAAGGTGTTGATATAAGACTCGTGTTTAGAGATTATTATGGCATTTACCCTTAGAATTTTCCAATCCAAGAGGATGATCATTCTGTGAGATACATAGTTAGTAACACACATTGAGTTCATTAAATGAACATCACTTGACCTCAGCCAAAAGGTCGAGAAAAGTTTCATTAAATGAGCATTGAAGAGGAAGATAACATGTATTCATTTTTCACTTTTGGCTAAAAAGAAAAGAGCAACTATAATAGGGAAAAGATAAAATTTAACACAAGTAGAATATCTTTTTTTCTTAAAATAAAATAAAATTTGAACACAAGTAGAACATCTTAAATAGCTTGTTCCTCATCGGATCCTTTTGTAGTCTTTTGTTTAGATGGTAACAAATTTTATATAGTCTAAAAGCACAAAGGTTGTACTGGCCATAATTACTGGAAAAATGTATCACAATATACATTAGAAATTTCTATCTCCTTACAGATATCCTAGAGCATAAAGAATAGCTTCTGAATCTCTTGTGGTTCTTGTTTTACACCAAAAATAGAACAGCAGCACATAATGCATTTTTATCTTCTGGATTGAACTACCATCTTCAAAACATCTTGAGATCCTTTCTTTCCACATAATCCTTCTTTAGTATTAAAAGTTGGTAATAATAAGATAAATGTTTGGAATTTTGAGGACTTCAATTGGCTGGTTTTGACCAGTGAATCAGTGAACTAGGTGTTTTAATAAGGAATATATAGGTTTAGTCCATGGGATCAGCTGAATGAAGCACCTTTTAAATTTCCCAAACACTCCAAAAGTGCTTGAAAGCTATTTTGGCTTAAAAGCACAAGCCAATCAAAGCAGGCTCTTAATCCATAAGCTCAGATTCATGTCTTATAATTTTAAGATTTGCTAAGCAGTTTAACTGATTTTGTCCAGTTATGAAACTAAATTTTCTTGTAGTTTTTACTTTTGTTTTCCATTTGCAGCAGAATCTGAAACAGACAGTGAGGCATCAGATATTAGTGGTTCTGATGGAGAAGACACTTCATGGATCTCATGGTACTGCGGTCTACGTGGGAATGAGTTCTTCTGTGAAGTTGATGATGACTACATCCAAGATGACTTTAACCTGTGCGGTCTAAGCAGCCTCGTACCATATTATGACTATGCACTTGATCTGATTCTAGACGTCGAATCTTCTCATGGTGAGTTTTCTCTTTCCATATTGTGACCACTTCTTTCTGCTGTGTACTGTGATTTGCAAATTGCACATCTGGGTATCTAAGGTTACGGTCTGTCATGATTGGCTTGTTCCTCGCTGTCTCCTGAGTGCACTAGAAATAAGTTCATGAATTAGCTTTGCGTATTATTGGGGGTCGTTTGGTAGGGTTTATAAGAATGGTGCTAAACAATATATATGATAATGCTCGTGTTATTTCTTATTCATTGTTTGGATTGGTGTGTTAAAAAAGGTTTTGAGGGGAAATTGATTCGTTAACCATGCTAATGGATGCATTAAATCCCCTTGCATTACTATATCATGGTTTTCCATGTATTAATAATACACAAAAGACTGAATAACTAATGCTTGTATCAGTTATACAAAGATTGAAGAAGTACCTAACAAGTTACTATTAATACACAAAGCTAATGAATGTTTGGTACACTTTTTCAACCAATTTGGTATTAAGGTATGTACAACTAATACATGGAAATCAACAGTATTAGTAATGCAAGGGGTTCCAATGTATGCATTAGCATGATTAAAGACATAGGTGCTTCTGGAAAAAACCACCTCCACCTACTTGTGGAGGGTATTTTGTAAACAATTTTTTAGAAACTATGCAATGCCTGTTATTTTCAATACACCAAACCAAACACTACATAAGAAATAGTCTCAGCATAATTAATGCAAGTATAACTAATGCACTATTTTTATGCACCATACCAAACAACCCCTTGATCTATAGCAGTTGTAGTTGATGAAAATTAGACGGACCAAATTACAAATGGTTTGACATTTAGAGAGATTTGTTTGCCGTCATGGATCTAACAATAATAATAGCTGATATTTGTTACTTTCAGGTGGAATGTCTTAATAATCTGTATTGCTAGCATTAAGATGATTGTTTCATTACTAACAATTAAAATAAAAAAAGACATGATTGTGTATTAGTTTCCCATGTGTATTGTTCTTGCCGTACTAGTGTGCATCTGGATGCTTCTTATGCTTTGCTAGTTTGAAGGTAATCATGTCTTCTTCTATGAGTTTTAAAGGACGCCAGAGAGGTGTATTTGTATATAAGTTCTCTGAAAGTAGAGGTTGATTTGGTGACTGTTCAAAGTGATAGCTCCCCAGCTTTTACTGAGCATGAAGGCTGGTTTTGTTGACTTAGCGTCCTGTATAATTTTATATTCTTGTCATAAATATGCTCAAGTATTAACATTGGAGCTGTATTTTGTTGAAAGTAAACATCTTATTTGGATAAGACTGTTTAGAGTGGGGTTTGTAATTGGTATTTTCTTATATCTTAAGAGGAGAACTTTGGTGTTCTATAGTTACCTCAGTAGTAATTTTGAAGAATTTTCTCTATATAAGATTTTAGCAAATTAGAGATATGTGCTTGTTCTGAGAAACATTTCTCCATGCCATTATAGAAGACATGTTCACAACGTTAGGATTTAAAAAGGTCCTCTGCCTGTTATCTTGTGGTAGTTTCTCAAAGGTCATATGATCGATGAGAATGCCTGAAATGTGTAGGTGATATGTTTACAGAAGAACAGAATGAACTAGTTGAATCAGCAGCAGAGATGCTTTATGGTCTAATACATGCCCGCTACATCTTGACAACAAAGGGACTCGCTGCTATGGTAAGAATTTTTGTAGCATTGAAAATTATATGTGGTCATAGCTATAATAATTGGAAGGTATCTGGTCTTTTCAGTTAGAGAAGTACAAGAATGCTGAGTTTGGGAGATGTCCTAGAGTTTACTGCTGTGGACAACCATGCCTCCCTGTTGGCCAGTCAGACATTCCTCGACAAAGCAGAGTGAATATATACTGTCCTCGATGTGAAGATGCGTATACACCTCGGTCAAGATATCATGAGAGTATCCTTTTTGTTCTGCTTTGTTATTTCTTAATGCAACCATCAACATACTGTCTGCATTCTGTCATCTTGCCCCCTTTTCCTTTCATCTGAAATGTGTAAAACTAGGAACTTGAATGTTGTGATTTGAAAACAAAGGAATACATGAATGTGGTTTGCACGTCTCACCTACCATGAGAAGTTGGCATAATCCATTATCCTTACCTCTTTTCTTTTACCTCCATCAATTTCAATTTCTCAAGTTCCCTGTCATTTGCTATTTACTAATAATCCAAAACAAAAGGAATCTGAAGCCTGTCTTTTTCTTTAAGGTTCAAAAGATAGTGCAGTAGAACCATGTCTTGTATCTCCCTACCTTGAATTGAGATTGGATCTTTCATCTCGTAGTGAAAAGTTTTAGAGGATACTGGTGTTCTGAGAAAATTGGGAAGTTTAATTTACCTTAGAGTTGGCAGCAATTTTTGTCATGTTAGCTTTTATTTGAGTCTCTTTTAATACTGTCAGAGATTTATATGCCAGTAGATAATATAGAGAACTTGCAGTATGTTTTTTTTTTGTATAATATTGTCCTGAGATGAGCTTAAATAGAGTCGCAATGTAAACGAGGGTAATATAGCTAACCCAACTTGTTGGGACTGAGACATAATTGTTTTGGTAGCATTTTGAATATCGGAAGATCTTAAAGAGTAAACGGTATCTTAGTTTCGAACCTTTCTTCCACAACAGCCACCATGTTTATTTTTCTCGTATTTTCTTTGAAATGCATCAAACAAGTTGTGGATGGGTGGACAGATTTGAAGAGGGAATCAATCTGTAAATACTATTGAACTGTCCGACACATTTAGACATTTTCTCCCAAGCAAGGCAGGGATGATGTTTTATTTTCTCCTCTTCATTTTTGCATATATATCAATGTCTCTTTTGCATTTCCTTTACTATGTCAAAGACATTGATGGAGCTTACTTTGGAACCACATTTCCGCACCTGTTCTTGATGACTTATGGACATCTCAAGCCACAGAAGATTTCTCAGAGCTACGTTCCCAGAGTTTTTGGTTTCAAGGTCCACAAGCCTTGATCCTGGTAGTGTTACCTACTGTCTATGTTTTCCTTATTAATGTGCTAGCAGAGGTAATGCTTTTAATAGCACATGTAGAATTGTAAGGTTCTGTTATAGGTTTTATTCTCATACAGGCTTTGGAAGATGCTGTGTGATAACAAATTTACTTGGACTACGTTTATGTATGAATACAATTCTCCCTTGCTACAGTTTGTGCTTTTTTTGTTACCCTGTGAGGATCTCTCAAATACTGCGTTACAAACTATTCTGTAGCGTGATTTGTATGTCAATGTACACCCAAGTATCGCAACTTGGATTTGACACATAATATTTTTTTTGTACATACACTTGACTTTTGGCCTGGGGTTTCAATTGAATGTCATTGTGTTTTCTTGAGTAAACATGATATGTCTCTAAAAGTCTTTCCCTTTTGACTTCTAGCTGTGCATTATTTTATCGGGTGAAAGATCTTATGTGCTGGTAAATTGTTAACTTTTGCATTGTGGCTGAGATAAATCATTAAAATTCGAGCCTTGGGGGTTTGGTTAGGTTTAATGTCAAGTGTGACAAGAACACATCATGGATTAGGAAGTTGACTATGATAATATTTAAGTGGAGAAACGTAGAGCCTAGAGGGATAGATTCATTATCATCGCACTATGTAGAACTGTATAACTCTAGCTAATTTTCGTATAAGATTTACATATTCCTCGGGGAAATAAATGCCAGAAGATGATGTCGATCTATTCCCTCAAAACCTTCCTAGTCGAGCTTCCACCGAAGAGATGGGAGCACATCCGTAACTCAACGAAACGAATCTCATGGATACCCCTTCTTTTCTTGAGCCAGAGTTGGGGCTTGTAGAAGAACTGCAAAATTGCTTAGGAAGTATTAATCCTTAAATATGTTCCTTCAGATTATAAATAAATTAACCCCTGTTTTTCTACGTTTTGTTTTAACATGTAAACATTTTTATTGATTTTTCATCACAATTTGTTCAATTCCTCAAATCCCAAACTACTGAATAGAACTTTCTTGGAGGGCATCATATATGATGAATAACACTATCATTTCAGCACAAAATACAAGTAAATATCATTTAGTGTTATCTTAGATGGTCACTTAACTAATCTTTGTTATCTTAGAATTTTTGTTCATGATCATGACATTAGAATGTGGTATATCTCATGTCCCATTTCTGAAGTTAGTTAAGTTTTTCAAGTTTTTAGAACTTTGCTAATTATTTTAGGAATGTAAATTACTCAAATTTTAAATTTGTCAATAGCATTTTTAAGTTTACTATAATTATTTGTGAATTTAAGTTTACTATAATTATTTGTGAATTTTTGGCGTTAATTTTATTTTATTTTTTTATATTCTTCCAATTTTTTTATTAATCAATTACTCATTTTCGGAATTTATTAAAAAAAATAAAAATTAAACGAAATTGTTAAAAATCAATCGGATAATTTATTTAAAAGGGGGTTGATTTATGGATCGGATTAGGTGTTTATGAGTCCGAATATCATTCCATTTTCATATAAATGTCATGCGGTAAGGTCAAAATGACATGACAATTCCATGTGGCATTTAAAGAAATGAAAAATGAGTTGGATAGGTCCAACATGTCAACTAACGCCCATAAGGGCATATTTGGATCAAAAGTTGGATGGCGAGGGCATGAGTGAACCAAACTTTAAACGGAGGGTATATCTAGACCTTTTCAAATAGTGTAGGGGCATATTTGACCCTTTTCCCATTTATGAATGAGAGAAGTACAGACCAAAACACTCCTAAATTCGAAATAAATTGTCAATTTCATCCTTAAACTATTGAAAGCTTTAAAAACACTCTTTTACTTAGCTAACTGAACTTAACTACAGCTTTGATCTTGTGACAATAGTGAAATACACTACTAAGTTCTCGCCAAGATTAGGAATGATTTCAACATTTCTCTCGACTTTTTATCATGAGTTTCATGATTCTACAAGACACTACACTAAAAATAATCCTTAGCGATAATTAATGAACGACAATAGCTTGATTATCACTAAAGATGTATTTTTAGCTAAAATAAGCATTCTTTGTAAATGTCCTTAAAACCTATAGCGATATTAAATCTGATGTCAATTAAACTTATGTCGGTAGAAGCTTTAAACTCTTTGTTAACGTGTATATTTATTGATACTTAAAATCATTTTTGTTATTGTGAGAGTTTGAGACCACTTATTATATCATATCAAAGATTGTGGGTGTATTCAAGTTTAAGTAATCCAGTAAAAACATATTTCTAAGACTTAATAATTAAAAAATGAAACTAATAATTTACACTAATTTGAAAGTGTTTTCAATATTTACTTCTTTATTATAACTACAACTAGAACAAGCTAGCCATATTGCCATTATAATCACATGTGATTTGTAGGATCTTAAAGATTTTATAATAATATGCCGTGTCACTTAAAGATTTTATATTGACGAATGGTAATTTAACTCCATATATATAGATTGAATATTTTTATAATTATTCTAGAAAGATTTTTCTAATTTGTACATATAAAAATCAGGGTCACTATTAGTATTGTCATTGTTTGTGTAAAATCTTGATCTAATTTTATGGAGCTTTATTTTTTCTGATTGATACTCATTAAGAATTTAAGATAGTCAAAGATATTCTTCCTAATTTTATTACTATTACAAAGTTTTAATTTTGTGTGTCAGTCTAATATACTTTTTCTTCGTCTACAATTCGATATAGTCCACCGTGCAATGATTTTATTTGACGCTCAATATTGGACATTAACTTATTACATTTTGTTTATTAATTTTATTTTTATAATTCAAACATAACATTTAATACGTTCTCTATCTGACAAATTCCAAAATAATGTTACATTTTTATAATTAAAAATAATTTAATGTAAAATTCCTTTTTTACTCAACTTAAACATCATTATATAAATTGAGGTCAAGGTAATACTCGGTCCTTAAAAACACATGTACGGTATGTAACCAATAATTAATACAGGTTGTGGACGACTTGCAATTTAATTTTTTTCAATAGCTTGATATATGTCATATTTTAATCCACCTATCTTATGTTACATATCGAGTCCAAAAAGGAAATAATTAAAAATTAATTACACTAAATTCCATTAATTGATAGATTCTTTTTAGCTATTTTAATGTCGATGTACTATTATTTATTAATTTGGTTCCTTTAATTAATAGATTTTGGTTATTTTTAAATCAAGGTTCTATTACTATGATGGTCCAAGTATTTTCTATTTAAACAACTTTATCGCAAGAAACAAGCATTCAATAATTTTGGAGGAATAGGTTTTTTAAAGGTTGCACCAAAAAAGATGAACAATTTTTTGCTATTATGTTTGTTTTCTATCATGGCTCTTCTTCTCACATATCCATCAGGTAAAAATGAATAAATTTTCTATTGATTTTTAAGTATTGAATAAAAAAAATAATCAGACTTAGCAATGAATCGAAAAATAAATCTTTTATCGACGAGACTAAATATTTCTTTGTTACAGATGGGAGAATTGCTAATCGGAGTGGAGATAAGATTTGCATGGTGAGAATAAAAGTAGATCACTGCAATTTTGGACTTGGTGATCGTAAATGCAAGGATGAGTGTTCCCGTCAATTTAAAAATGTTAGAGATGTATTTTGTGCCAATTCAGAAACTCAATGTCGTTGTGCACTTTATTGTTAGTAGTCCTATATATTTTTACGATAAATGAACCAGCACTATGCGTGGATAATATTATAAAATATCACTAACTATTTTTTATTGTGACACGAAGAAAAGAAAATATGATCGTTTTATCAATAGTTGAAATTTAATAAGGAGATTGTTTTCATTTTTATTTCTTACGAATGTACTTCCTCCGTTCACTTTTATTTGTAATGTTGAGCTTTTTGAAAGTCTTTTTCATTAATTTTTAAAGATAAAATAAGATTATATTAATTCGATATTTTAAATAAAAAAATTTAGATATTCAAAAACTATATGAAAAGTACTATAAATTGCAATTTTTGCATATCTCAAAATATTAATTAAAATTCTTATAATTTAACTTTAAAAATAGAAACTATGATAAAAAATAATTGACTGAGGGAGTAATTTTCGTTGCCGATGGAATTGAAGTTGCTATTAATGCGAGTATAAAACTGTATTTATAATCTTATAATATAGATTCTTGAGATTATGAATTTTATTTTTGGTTTGGTTTGGGAAAGAAAATAGATTTGGAGAAAATGGGAATGAGATTAAAGTGTGGTTATAAAAAAAGATTAATGAGATCAGTGTAAATGAACGTAAAACTTTCTTGTCGAATATCATTGGTGACTGAAGATTTAAAAAAAAAACTATTATTTAATCACTTATATTACATCTAGAATCCTATTTTGTTCTTAGAACAAGTTGAAGGCATACACATTATTGAAGGAGACGATACTTTAATTCAGATTTATTGGGATTAATGGATGGCCTTATATGTATAGAAAATTATGTAGAATAACAAATATTTAGCCTAGATTAGATACTATAAGCTATAGTTTAAGAAAATCGTAATTCGCGATTATAGTTTTTTTTTTTTTACTATTTACCTGATATGTATAATTCGTCTAATTTGTGCAAATCCAATATTGTTTAATTTGGTTCCTAATTGTTAAATTCAGAATTTGTATAGTTCGATTTTTAATTGTGTAAATCTAAAATTTTGTATATGCATAGCTATTTATATACGATTTATAAGCGAAATATAGAAATAGAATTATGAGAAATTCGTAATTATATAAATACCAAATTTATATATATATAATTTCTATTTGTATATTCACAAATAAAATATACAAACAGATATACACAAATTGCAACTCTCATAACAAACAAAACTATAGATATGTTATACAATTATCAAAACTATAATATAGAGCCTAATTACATTTACTATTTCTAAAAATTTCTGAAAAGTATAACAAGCTTAAATTAGTTTTCATCTATTTTTACACAAATGCGAGATGCATTTGGAGCAGGCCTGGTCTTCCCAAAGTGCAAAGGTTGCAATGGGCCTAGCTGCAGGGCCCGGGTCAGAACTTTTGATCAGTTTTTTTATGGGAAAATTGTATAAAATAGCAAATTAATAACCTAAATTAAATTGAATAGCTAGGGTTTGATTTAATTGCGCTCCATAGCAAACATTGACAAAAATTTGCCAGGCGTCTCTCTCCCAGAAGTCTCGCTCGCCTCTCTCGCTTTATACACAGAAGTGTATAATTTCTGTTTCTGTTTTGTATAAAGCGAGAGAA